TGCTGGCCCAGCGGCCTTTGACGAGTGTCTGCTCCATCGAGCTGGAGCGGCAGAAAAAATCACTTGCTCCGCCTCGTCGGCAACTGTGCCAGCTGAAAAGGCCTCGAAAGCCGAGCGCTTCGGCCAAGCGCTGCAATCCTGCCCTCAGCTGGTTCGGCGACCTGGGCGAAAGCCTGTCTGAAGGCGCGAGATTGGCCACGACCAGCCGCAGCAGCCGCACGCAGGCCTTAGATCGCACCACCACGGCCTCAGCTGCATCCTTGCCCGCCGTGGTCTTACTGCTGCCAATGCGGATGACCATGCACGATCCACGATCATGAACGTCGCCTGCAGTGAGGCTGAAAGCTTCCCCTCCTCGCAGCATCGCTTCAAAGCTGACGAGAAGAAGGCAGGCGAAGTCGAAGGCGCCTGCTGCGATGGCGTAGCCCGCCATGCCGCCGACCAGCTCCGCGGTCAGCGGGAGCACGCGCGCCGCTGGCTCTTGGCGGCGCCACGTCCGCAGCAGTGACCAGGACAAGTCGAGCTTCCTGCGCAAAGACGGGCAGAGGAAGGCCACACCCGCGATGGTGTTGCTCGCAGCCGCAATGCCAGCGCCCTCGGCCCAGAGCTTCTCGAGGAAGCCAGCGACCAAGCCGTCTGCATCGTCCATGGCCAGTGCGAGCGCGGGCGCGCCACTCTCCTCAGCGCCGTAGTAGTGCAAGAGCCTGCGGACCGCAACGGCGTACCGCCTGCGGGTCGCCACCCCGACGCGGAGCGACGAGAGGGTGTGGGCGCGCGGGTCACGCCGCCTCACAGGCGGCCTGCACGGGCGGCCTTGCGCACCAAGGGCGCGCGACTGCCGCGCCCCCTGAGCCGCGAGCCACGCCACAGCTTTCTCGATGGCTCGTCGGCCGGATTGTTCTCTGACACGATGTACCCGATCAGCGGGTACATGTCGGCCGCGACCGCGACCGCTGCCCAGCGCCGGAGCATCGGCTGCAAGCGAGCGCTGCTGCTCCGGCCCTTCGTGATGATGGCCGCGACGACCTGGCTGTCCACGAGGTGGAGCCAGCGGCTGCAGTGGCGGCGAGCGGCACGAGCCCGCCACCGAAGCGCCGCGAGCGCGGCCTGCAGCTCCCTGACGTTGATGTGCGCCTGCTGCCGCTTGGGCCAAGCTATACTCAGCACGACTCGCCACTTCCACACGAACGGGCCCAGCGACGATCTGGGCCACCCCTTCGGTCGGCACGGCAGGTTCACGTCGAGACGCACATCGCTCCCGCCCTTCTCGGACCTGGCCAGGTAGCTGAGGAGCAAGAGACGGCTGGCTTCGGTCTCTGGCTCCCCCGCGTCGCTCTCGAAGCGGCCCGCTTCGTCCCACGACGGCGTGCATTCGCCGACGTGCCCAAGCTCCTGCATGGACAGTGGGCGCGTCACAGCCCCCAGGTTCAGCAAGAGCCACTGCAGCAGCCAAGCGACCGAGAACACATTGAAGCTGTTGCCCAGTAGGAAGGACCTGGCGTCGTCGCTATCCTGCTGGTTCGAGCCCTTCGTGGCTACAGCCGTGTAACGCACGTCGAATCCCATCATCCTCTCCCGCTCGGAGCTCGAAGGGACTCGCAAGGATCCGTCGCTGTCCTGCAAGAGGTTTTTCTCTTCGTAGAGCGCAACATGGTAGCGATACGAATCCGACTGCCAGCGAGCGAGCGCCTCGGGCGAAGCACTCTTCACCCCGCGCGGCGCTGAAGGGTAGCCCCGCTGAGGCCTGCTGCACACGAGGGTGGGGTAAGGCCCAGGCTCGCCCAGCCAGCGCGCGCCAGGATCCCGCCAATCGAAATTCAACAGGGGCGGCTCATTGCAGCTGACCACGAACATATCCTCGCGCTCCTGGAGGACCAGCGGCGGGGTCGGGCGGACGCTCCAGCTCAGCCAATACAGCCGCGGCCTCCTGCAGGGCACCAGGGCCGAGGTGCACAGAAACACGGGCTTGACGCCGAGCGCCTGGCTCATGCCACGCAAGCTGCTGGACGTCATGCCCGCGACGTTCTCCACGAACCACCTGAAACTCGCCCCGAAAGCGTCTGACAGCAGCCCGAAGATGCGCGGCACCTCGAAGAAGACCGAAGACTTCGGGTCCGCCAGGCCTCGCCCAGCAGCGTTTAGCCCCGTGAGCCCCTGGCACGGGCTGCCTGCGCCCGCGACCACAAGGTCGATCTCGGACTGGTAGGCGATCCTCAAGTCCTCCACCGTCTGGGCGGTCACGGTCCTGACGTCGCCCCAGTCGATGGCGCCTGGCCACCTGAGCCGTACGACCCTCCTGGCCTTGGCGTCTGTCTCGGCGCTCACGTACCCGACGATGCGCACGGGCAGGCGCGAGAGCGCGACCGCCAACCCGCCGATGCCGTCGAACAGCCCGATGCAGAGGACTCTGAGGATTCGGGCGACGATGGCCCGCGGGATCCGCGGGTTGCTGCGAGTCCAGGGCGCCCGCGGATCGACTGGCAGGCCGAGGACCCTCGCCCCAGCGCCCAGCTGAGCGCCAGGCTCGCCGGCGGCGAGGATAGTCGCCTCCGCCTGCTCGTGGAGGCCCGTCGACACGCAGACTCCCCCCCCGAACTCGGACGCGTCTGAACACGACGCCATCCCTTCGAGGCGGCTCCTCAACGAAGTAGCGGCGAGCGGGACCACGAGGAGCGCCGTCATCAGCTCCTCCCTCATCTCCCGCGTCAGGTAGACCTTCGCCCGCGGCTCCGAAAGCCTCCACACTGCATTCAAGATGCTGAGCAAGGGCCGCCGAAACTCGAAGACCCTGACAATGCGGCCGAGCACAGTCATGGCCAGCCTCCACGGGACCAAGTCCAGGCCGAGCGTCGCGATGGCGAGACCGCAGGCGGACAACGCCTTGCTGAGGGGGGCGCCGATCCGCCCCGTGACGCCGTCAACGGAAGCCCCCATCCTCTCAACGCGAAGCTGGCGGAGGTGCGCCTTGTCGGAGGAGATCGCCACCTGCGCACGCTCGTAGCTGGCACGGGCCGCGGCCTGCAACTCTGCCTGGCTACCAAGAAGCTCTAGCGCCGCGGCCTCCTCGATGATCTCGGGGGCGTCGAAGTCGTCGATGTATACCTGCCACCAAGATGCAAGGACGGGACCCTGCTTAGCAAAAGCGAGCGGCCGCACCGTGTCCTTCCGCCATTCTGCCTCTGGCGGTAGGCCCGCTCCAAGCGGGGGAGGAAGCCGACGCAATCGCCGATGTATGTGCTGGAACAGCGGCACGGCGAGCATCCAACCCATCGAGATGACCGCTGAGGCGACGAAGACCCGCGGCGCCGCGCGCCCAAACAGGTCGCCGCGCAGCGCCTTGCCCACCGCCATGTGAGCATGCCAGCAGCGCGGGATCCGCCACACAAAGAAGGCCCCCTTCTGGTCATCGCCAGACCACAGCAGCAGGGAGCCCTCGGGCAGGTGAAGGGTCGTCCAGCCCGTCGACGCCGCGAGTGTAGACGCCTCACCGACGAACGGCTTGAGGAGCGAGTTGCCTGGGACCATGTTCAGGATGAGCCTGGTGACCCGCTCGGCCCCTGGCCCAGGCGCTCCCTTCTTCTCGACTGCGAAGAGGCCGTTGAGGAGCGGAGCGCCCCGCACCTGAAACACCTCATGCGGCTCAAGCACCGTAAAGATGCCCAACTTCACCAAGTGCACCGCGAGGGCCTCCCAGTCGTTGTCAGAGGTGACGTTGACCCGCGCCCTCGGGAGCGGGTTGGGCCACTCGGCCTCCGGCTTCAGCGCCACCGAGGGGTCGTTCAGCCAGGCGCCAATGTCCGCATCCACGAACTCGCACGCGTCCAAGGCGCCTGCGTGCTCGGGCTGCGGCAAGCCCGGCTTCAGCTCCGCGAGCACGCACGGGAGTGCCTTGACCGCGGGCTCCCCGCTGTAGTCGACGGCAGCGTGCTGGAGGGCGGACGACAGCGCGGGCACCTCCACGCTCGCGAAGGGGTCCTCCGCAAAGACCTCAGCCCGCGACAGGAGGTGCGCCATGGCCTGCCGCTGCGCCAGCGTGAGGGACCCCTCGTGCTGCCAGGTGGCGGTCGCCCGCCCGCAGTACATGCGGTTCAGGCCAAGCACCTCCATGTAAAGCCAGCACTCCATCATGACGGACCTGGCCACTCCTGCGAGACGGCACCTGCTGCTGCGAGGGCCGCATCGGCTGCGAATCCATCGCCTCGCCAGGGAGAGAGAGGGCAGGGGCAGCGGGAGGACGTCACGTCCCCGCACCCCGCTCCCCCGCCTTGTGGACGTACGCATCGTGAACTCCCTGGCGAAGGCGCCCAGACCCCCAGGGTCCGTGATGGTAAGGCCCAGCAGGGTGACCGACAAGTCCACGGCAGTGAGGTTCGACCCAAAGCCGACCGTGACCACGCGCTGCCAGTCATGGAAGTCCGAAGCGGTGAACGAGTCCTCGCCCGCTGAGGAATCCGACCAAAGCTCGGCAACAGAGAGCTGTCCCCCCCGCGGCGTCGCCTCATCCCGCGCCAGGGCTCCTGCCGCCTCTGCCTCGCCGCAGGACCAGCGCCCAGCAACACCCCCAGGCCCAGCGCGCAGCAACTCGCTGGCGCTCGGGGGGCCTGGAGGGACCTCGGCCGCGCCGACTAGGCCATCGGCCGCTGCGCCGCCCCCAGAGGCGCCCGCGCAGGCCAGGCGCCCCCCAAGAGCGCTTGCTGCGGGCAGCGAGGCGACCGCTACCGCAGCGTCGGCACCAGGCTCCGCAGGCGGGCATCGTACGCCTTCACCGTCTCGCCAGCCTTCTTCGGGCACTTCGCCTTGGCGTCCTTCCAGGGCCGCGCCAACACGACCGCACGGGCTGGGGCTGCCGACCTGTCCGCCAGCATGCGGTCGGCCTCCGCGGAGCCCGCGGCCGCTGGCTGCCTCTGCGCCGGGGCCTGCGCTGCGGCAGGGGGTATCCCCCCTGCATGGCCTGCAGGGCGAGTGGGCAACGCCGAACCCACCTCGCCCCGGCCGACCTGCTAGCCCTGAGGCTTCTGCCGCAGCCGCGAGGCGAGCTCCTCCAGCTTGAGCTCCCCGTGCTGGATGCTCCTGATCATCTCCTCCTCCTCGTTGCGTAGCGCGAGAGGCTGGTCCCGCGGCGGTATCAGCTCGAGCCACTTCGCCGCCGACCAGCTCCCGTCCCCGACCGCCACCTGGATGGCCTTGAAGCGCTGGGCCAGGATGTCGGCCACCGCAGCCGTGCGGCCCTGCAGCAACAGGTCCAGCGCCTCCGCGATCGTCCGCAACTCGCGGTAGATCTCGCCCCCTATCTCCTTCACCGGATGCTGCGGCAAGTAGACCGACAGGAGGAATCGAAGGACGATCGGGCCATGCGGATCGACCGACCCGCCGCCGTCCTGCGACCCCAGGAACTCTGCCATCTGCGCCAGGCTCAGCTCCGCGAGTCTCCCTGGGTGCTCCAGGGCCAACCTCCTGCAGTGGGCCCGACGAGACGCAAGGCCCTTCGGCAGCAAGTCGCCCTCGGCGGTGGCGACACCACCATCGCCGCCGAAGGACGGGTCCTCGGACGACCTGGACGCGCTCTGCAGCGCCTTGAGGAGGGCCGTCAGCAGCTCCTGCACGCCAGCCCCGCCCTGACCAGCGGCGGAGGCGGCCGCCTCTGCTCCCTTGGCGTCCTCGGCCGATGCAGCTGCTCCGACCTTCGCCGCCTTCCGCACGCGGTCCTCGAGGACCTCGGCAAGCGACCGCTGCGGTGGCGGCCCGCCCTGCCGCGGGATCTTCGCCGGCGGCTCGTCGTCCAGGGCAGCGACCGCCTCCGCAGCCCCCGCAGCGGCCCGCCGCTGCTGCTGAAGCCGAGCGAAGCGGTCCTGCGCCGCCTCCAGCTTCCCGCGGAGGCTGGCACGGCGGCCGCCCCCATCCGCCTCGACCACGTCGCCGCCCCAGAGCTCGTCCAGTCCTGGCTGCTCCGGCTCTCCCCAGGCACCCCTCCAGTGAGCCGCGGCCCGAAGAGGTCGGCGGGCCAGACCGCGTCTGGGTTGTCCGAGAGGAACGCCGCGAAGATCTCCCGCAGCTCGTCGGCCGAGACGGCGGTCGCGTCCGTGATGTGCACCAGCTCCGAGCAACCCCGCGGCGGCTGGACCTGGCACGGCTGCGCCCGGCACACGTGGACGAGGGGCCGCGCAGTCACGGCCCCGCGCTCGCCAGGGTTCGACGCCCACCAGTCCCAGTACGGGTCGTCTGAGAAGAGGAACCTCGGCCTGGCGTACGTCTCGACTCCGACCGAGAGGCGAAGGGCGACCCAAGTGAAGCGGCACTGGACGTCGCCCTGGGCATTGTAGCCCGTCGACGAATACGCCTGGCCCTCGACGAGCCGCAGCTCCTCGGCGGGGGCAGGAGGCCGTCCACCGCCCTCCCCGTCCAGCTCGTCGCCCGACGGGGTGTACAGCTGCGCGCTCCCGTCCAGCTCCTCGTCCAGATCTCCGGCCATGAGAGGGCGCTTGCGCACCCAGCGCCGTCGCCCTCCTGGGAGTCCCCCCCGACCTGGGGCGGACCAGGTCGGAGCCGAAGATATGCAAACGAGGACCTCGGGCGAGCACCAATGCACTGAGGTGTCGGCTCGCCCGAGGCCCCCAAACCCTGCAAGCCTTGGAAAGAGGCTACGGAAGGAGACGGCGTTCAACGATGCCCCCAAACAGTATTGCCTTACACAAGCGTAAACGGTCATATATTGACAACAATTTTGAGAATGATGACTTGGCTGACTTGCAGATTGCAAGTCGTCCTCACCCCTGCTCCTACTCCTACTCCTGCTCATCTCTTCTCTGCTCCCCTCTCCTCCGCTTTCGAGCTCTCCTCTGTCTGCCAGCGAGGACTCAGGGCGCATGATGAGGCGGTTACCCATGGCGCCAACGTTGTCAACGATGCCAACAATGGCAACGTTGGGCCCCCCTCCCCCCCCGCTGCCAGCGAGATCCCAGAGCTCCAAGTGAGGCGGCACCCAGGCGTCAACGTTGTCAACGTTGTCAACGTCGGGCCTCCCGCGGCCCCCCAAGGCGCCAGCGTTGTCAACGTTGTCAACGTTGGGCCTCCTCCCTCCCCCTCCCTCGTCAGCCAGAGCACGGGACTCAAGGCGCCAACGTTGTCAACGTTGTCAACGCTGGGCTTCCCTATACCCCCCTCTGCCAGCGAGATCCCGGAGCTCCCGGAGCTGTAGGTCCGGAGTTCCCGGGGTTTCCTTTCAGGGACTGAGGCTTCCTTGCGTCGGCCGTGAGACTAAGGCTTGCTTGCGTCACACAGACGGTCCCCCTAAGGCGACAACGTTGTCAACGTTGTCAACAATCGCAACGTTGGGCCTCCCTTTCTCTGCCAGCGTGTACCTAGGGCCCCAGGTGAAGCGGCCCCTCAAGGCGTCAACGTTGTCAACGTTGTCAACGTTGGGCCTCCCCCCCTCTCTCGTCAGCCAGAACCCAGGACTCAAGATGGGGCGGCCCCCCAAGGCGCCCACGTTGCCAACGTTGTCAACGTTGTCAACGTTGGGCCTCCCCCCCACTGCCAGCGAGATCCCGGAGCTCCCAGACCAGGAACTCCAGGAGCTCCCTGGGCTCCAAGTCCGGAGCTCCCAGAGTTCCCTTTCAGGGACTGAGGCTTCCTTGCGTTCGCCGTTACGTCGTCTGTTGACGGACTGAGGCTTCCTTGCGTCAGACAGACGGCCATCCGAGGCGTCAACGTTGTCAACGTTGTCAACGTTGGGCGTCCCTCCCTCTGCCAGCGAGGACCCAGGGCCCCAGGTGAGGCGCCCCCCCGGGCGTCAACGTTGTCAACGTAGTCAACGTTGGGCCTCTCTCCCTCTGCCAGCGTGTACCTGGGGCCCCAGGTGAGGCGGCCCCCCCTGGGCGTCAACGTTGCCAACGTTGTCAACGTTGGCCCCTTGGGGGCTCGCCTCACCTGGAGCCCTAAGGACGTCCTCGCTGGCATGGGGAAGGCCCAACGTTCCCAACGGTGACAACGTTGGCAACGTTGGCGCTTTGGGGGGCCGCCTCACCTGGAGCCCTGGGTCCTCGCTGGCAGGGAAGGGCCCAACGTTGACAACGTTGACAACGTTGGCGCCTGGGCCGCCCCACCTGCAGCTCTGGGTCCTCGCTGGCATGGGGGGAGGTCCAGTGTTAACAACGTTGACAACGTTGACAAAGCTGGCCCCTTGGGGGGCCGTCTGTCTGACGCAAGCAAGCCTCAGTCCATAGTCGTGAGGCTGAACAACACATTGGCGGAAGCAAGCCCCAGTCCCTGAAAAGGAACTCCGGGAGCTCCGGACCTGGAGTTCCGGGAGCTCCGGGGGCTCCCGGAGTTCCCGGTCCGGGAGCTCCGGGTCCTCCGCTGGCAGTGGGGGGGAAGCCCAATGTTGACAACGTTGACAACGTTGGCAACGTTGGCGCCTTGGGGGGGCGCCTCACTTTCAGCTCTGGGTCCTCGCTGGCAGTGGGGGGGAGGCCCAACGTTGACAACGTTGGCGCCTTGGGGAACCGCCCAACCTGGAGCCCTGGATCCTCCCTGGCAGGGGGGGGCCCCCACGCCTTGGAAGGCGGCCTCACCTGGAGTTCTGGGTCCTCTCTGGCAGGGGGGCGAGGTCCACTGTTGACAACGTTGACAACGTTGACAACGTTAGCCCCTTGGGGGGGCGCCTCGCCTTCAGCAGCCCTGGGTCCTCGCTGGCAGTGGGGGAGGGGGCGAGCTCGGAGGGGGCCCAACGTTGACAACGTTGACAACGTTGGCGCCTTGGGGGGCCGCCTCACCTGGAGCTGTGGGATCCCGCTGGCAGCAGGAGGGGAAGGAGGGAGGTCCAACGTTGACAACGTTGAAAACGTTGACGCGCTACGGGATGGGAGTGGCGCTGTGGCGACTGTCCAACAGCCTCAAGGCGCACAGCGTTCCTTGCACCCGTTATCCTGCAACAATTCTTTTCCTCATAACTAAGTCTTCCCCTGTCGCACCTCGACGCGTGTCGGCAGGGTGGGCCCAACGTTTCGCCTAAGATTTCCTCACAATGTATGATCCTTACGCTCAAGATTGGCAAGAGCTCCACGGATAGCGTCACGGGTGGATTGCGGGCCGTTTAAAAAGGCGGTTTTCGACGCAGCACAGAGCACATTAGTCTTAACGATTTGCAAGAGCTTCATGGATGGAAGGCGGTTCCAGTTCAAAATGCGGCTCCCGCTTAGCGCCCCCCACATTTGTTTTAAGAGTTTACAGCAATTTCAAAGATTCTCATAGTTACCGCATTGGAAAGGGCGTTTTGGTACGATGTCGGACTGTCAGGACGAAACAATTACGCTGATTCGCGATTTCGAAATCCCAGGAGTGGCGTTCTGGCACGATTCATGATCGTCAAGACGAAAGACACAAGGTGATCTGCGGCGCTGGGGTCCCTGGTTTGGTGTTATGGCAAAATTCTGGATTTTCAGGATGTTGTATTCCCACGGGGCACTTCCCTCAGTGAAAATTGATCGTTGTATGTGGCCTGTGGAGAGGGAGCTTGGAGGGATGGTTAATTATCTTGGACAACTGTGTTCTAGAGCTCGGACCTCTTTATTTTCATTCGTCGTTTTTCGCTCGTTCGTTCGTGCGTCGTTCGTCCTCCCCCCTGGGCCCCCTGGCCTTGCCCGCTGTGTTCTAGAGCTCGGACCTCTTTATTTTCGTTCGTCGTCGTCGTTCGTCGTTCGTCCTCCCCCCTGGCCCCCCTGGCCTTGCCCTGGACCCAGCCCTCCCCCCTGCCTCTTTTCCCTGGACCCAGCCCCCCTTGCCCTTCCCCCCCTGGCCTCCCTGGCCCCCACTGGCCTCCCTGGCCCCCTGGCCTGGCCCTGGACCAAGCTCTCCCCCTGCCCTTGCCCTGGACCCAACCCCCCTCGCTCTCCCCCCCCCGCTGGCCTCGCTGGCTCACTCCTTCGTCCTCTCCCCTGCCCCCCCTGGCCTTGCCCGTGGTCTAGAGCTCGGACCTCCCCCCCGGCCACGGAAGAAAACTCCTGGAGGAAAGAGGCGAAAGTCTCCTGTCCCTCGCAGCTCCTTGGTGCAAGAACCAAGGCACGCGTGCCACTTGTTGCAATATCGTTGGTTAATCTTGGGTTTGCACCAGTCCTCGTCCTCCTCCTTGTCCTCCTCCTCCCCCTCCTCCTTCTCGCCCCGCGTACCCACCACTGTACCTTCCTTATCTTACTCCCTCCTTGCTCCAGGCGCCGCCGTGCCGCGCAACGGGCACCGCCAACTCGCACAGGCTAGCGCAAGTGGTCCTGCAGCAGCGCCTGCGGTGCAGTCCGCCGACGCGGAAAGCTTCTGCCCCGGGTGCGACCATGCGCTAGACGTTTTCGGCGACCACGCCCTGATGTACCTGTCGCAGGGGCTGCGCAAAAAGCGCCACAGCGCCCTCCGCACCCAGTCCTCCCTCGATGCCCAGGCGGCGGGCTGCGCGGAGGCTGGGGTGGAGCGCCTGCGGCTGTCCGCCGCGCGCAGCCTGCGAAGATCCCTGGTGAGGAGCAGGCTGGCGCTGGCTGGACGTGTCTGAGCGCCGCTCAGCCGACCTCTGCCTGCCTCGCAGGCGCAAAGGAGGAGGGGCAGCTCCTTGGAGCATCGCTGCCACGCCGGGGATGCGCGGTGACTTCCTGGCAGTACCTGCCGCATCCACCGAGGGGCCGAAGGGCCGCAACGAAGAAATCAAGCGTCAGCGCCAGGACACCGCTCGCCGCTGCTCCGAGATAGGCTCCATTTCCATCTCGATCCCGACGGGGTCCCACGGCCGAGGTTGGGGCGCGAGGCCAGGAGGGATTTCGTCGTCCTGGCGAGCCAGTGGCGGACGCCACGCACAGGTGAGGACGCTGCCCTCGTGGCAGATCCGCACGCCGAACCAGCCGGACAGGGAGAGCGTGCGGACGGTGCTGAGTGGCTCCAGGCGCCGCAGGGGGCGGCTACTGCCCGCCTTGCAACGGCCACGGCGGCCTCAACGGCTGAGGTGGCGCCTTCTCCTCCCCCGTGGTCGCGAGGGGCCTTCGGACGACGACCATTTTCCTCGGGCTTCAACAGGGCTGGAGGCACACCAGAAAGGGTGCTCACCCTAAAAGGGCCTTGCTGACCAAGCCACAACGCGGCAGCTCGCCCCAGTTCGCCATGTGCCCACCAACTCCCGACGGCCCAGACAACCACCCCTTCCCGACGACCCCCTCCCGACGACCCCGATGGCCACCAGCACTCCACCTGCCGCCTCCTGCCGCCGCCTGCCGTCGCGCCGCCGCCGTGGTGTCCAGACATTGTAGTGGAAAAAGCACGACTTGCAAATGCAAGCCTTCCCTGAGAGGACCAATCTCAGGTCTGGAGCGGTTTGTGCTGGACGCCTTGGGCGCCATCCCCCTTCTGCCCCCTCTCGACTGCTCGTCTTCGGCTTGTCCTCCTCCTCCTCCTCCTCCTCCTCCTCCTCCTCCTCCTCCTCCCTCCTCCTTCTCCTCCTCCGCCTCCTCCTCCTCCTTCTCCTCCTCCTTCTCCTCCTCCTCCCTCCGGAACATCTCTATCCTCCCAGCTCCCTCCTCCCCCACTCTCCCCTCGTCCTCCCCCTGCCACTCCTCCTTCCCTCGCTTCTTGCGTCCACCCAATCGTTCTCGTCTCCCCTTCCCCGACTCAACTTTTCGGGCATCTGAGGCGGGCGGCTCCTGGAGACCTGGACAGTGGTTGGCTGGGAGCTGCGGACAGGCGCCGAAGCGTCTCACCGTCCGGACCACATGCGCCCACCGGAACCGCAGCCTCGGGTTCCGAAGAGTCTGCAGAATCAACCTGCAGGGGTCAGCATCCAGATGTGCCCCGAATTCAGCTGCACCAAGTTTTCGGCAGCACCGCACAAAGGCTGGAACGCCGGGCTGCCTGGAGGCTGCTGCGCGGCAGACAGCTGTCAGGAGCGGCCTTCGACGCGGCGGGCAAGGCCCTCAGGAGTGGCCATTGGGCCTCTCTCCACTCGCCCTCTGTGTCAGCACCGTCGCTGGTTTCCGGCTGGCGCTGTGGAGACTCGGGCAGGCGCGTTGACTGTCGCTCTGGAGGGCCCTTCCCTGATGTGCGGATTGTCTCTCTTGATGACCCCCTTCGTCGGCACCTGTGCGTAATGGCTTCACCGCCCCAGCCCGCCTCCCACGCGGACGCCAGGCGTCGGGGATCTTCTGACCCGGGTCAATCCAGACCAGGGTCAGCAGGAAACCAAAAACTGCAATGCAAGAAAAAAAACTGCAGCGCAGGGCTTCGCAGACCCGGGTCAGCCAATAGGCGCGGCCGCCTCGCGGCCACGAGCGGCTCCCTGACCCGGGTCAGCCAGAGGAAGTCTTCGCAGGATCCTGCAGGATCCAGCGCCCTGGCTGACCCCCGTTTGCACCGACCCCCGTCTCAAGGCTCCCGAAGGCGGGGTGTCCACCAGCCACCGGCGCGCCTCCCACCATATGCGCGGGGCCAACGCGCGGGCAGCGGCCAGCGTCCCGCTTTGGGGTGACGCGAAGCCCCTGCGGCTCTTCCCATCAAAGCGACTGTCTCAAGCCCTTCCTGCACAGCGAGAGCATACAGACTCCTCATACTTGCTGGTCCTTTGCCTATTCGGTAGTCTGGTGCGCAGTGCGTGTTTGCAAAAGTCAGGGTGGCGCGCTATCAGTTGGTGTCTTCCGACTCTTCGACTGATCACACTCCCCCATCTCACTTCCTTAGAAGTGCCACCAGCCCCGTGGGCGTGGGTGGTTTAGAGCTTCTGGTCCGGGAAGGCGTCATCACTGCTCCTCATTCATATACGCACCACCACTCGACAGACCGCTGGCCAGGAACAAGGAGCCCCCCATCTCTGTCATATGGCGGCAAAGTCTGGCGGCAAACTATGCATCAAGAGCGGGCACTTCGCGAGGACGTTGCATTAGAGTGGGAGCATGTTTGCCTGGTGTGCGCTGGTCCATTCGTCGTATCGAAAACCAATGTGTTATGATTATTGTGGGGTCACACACCGTACATAATCTTGATCACCCCGACGCCATTTTACAATGGCCTCTGACAAACATTACCGCTGTGCGACCCTACCTAGAAGTTGGAGCCCCTAGGAACGCAGCATTAGTTGCTATGCTATGCTATGCCATACCATGCCATGCTATGCTGTGCTATGCTATGCAATGCTATGCTATGCTATGCTGCGCTATGCTATGTTATGATATGCGATGACGTGATGTGCTATGTTATGCTATGCTAAGCTGCGCTATGCTGTGCTAAACTATGTTATGCTATGTTATGTTATGATGTTCGATGCTGCGCTATGCTATGCTGTGCGATGATATACTATGTTATGCCATGCTATGCTATTATATGCTATGCTGCACTATGCTATGCTATGCTATGCTATGCTATTATTGGCTATGTGTTGCTACGCTGTGCTATGCTAATGCAGCACTGCGCTATGCTAAGCTAAGATGAAGCTAAGCTAAGCTAAGCTTGAATCAGCTAAGCTAAGATGAGATAAGCAACGCTAAGCTAAAGGAACGTCACTGGGGGAACCGCGGAGCGGATGCCGGGGGAACCGCCCGAGGCGTGGACCACTGCCCGGCCCTTTAAGCACACCGAGTAAGAACCCTTCTAGGCAGAGCCTAGGTAGGGAATCATGGGATGATTAGCAATTGTCCGGTGTGCACTGTGACGTGAACTGGCGCGTCAAGTGTGTGTGTGTGTGTGTCGCGAACCGATAATCGCAAATGTGGCGTACCTGGCGCATGTTGCACACTTGAAACAGGCGGGCATGGCAGGCCTGTGCCCCTGGGGCACTTGGTGCGCGTGGCGCACCTGGCAAGCGTGGCGTACCTCGCGAGCGTCGTGCACCTCAGGTCTGCGTTGGTAATGAGAGACGCCGTGGGTTCACAAGACAACTGCTCCCATTGGTTGCATGCTTCCGCTCTAGTGTGATGGAATATTATGTGCGCATAGGTCCGATCCGCTCAGGATCGTTCCTGACACTTCTTGGGTTGGTTGAGGCAGATACAGGGCCTCTGGCTTTCCAACAAAGTAGGGCGCACAGTATACCCTGCAGGCTGCACACAGCTCGAGGCAAAAGTTGGCTGCGGTGCAGCATGATGCCTTGTACACACTGTCCCACGGAGTACCTGCTTTATCGCTTGATTGCCAATGACTGTACATGGGATGGCGACCTCTGCCTATGCTGGATATCGGGTATGTGGTGGGAGGACGGACGGGAGTGAGCGAGACAGTTTGTGGCGTTCCAGTTGGGAAATTGGCCCCTCCTTCCATCCCCTCCCCTGGGTCTGGACGCCCTCCCCCCGCGAGGGATTCGAGCGTCCAAGATGGGGCCCAGAAGAGGTCCCGTACGGCCTTCCGATACGCCAAAACACTGTACATGCAATGGTTGAAGGATGGAGTCCTGCCTTTGAAGGGCACGTACGAGAGGCTGTCGGCTCAAGACGGCTCCAAGATGGCTCCGGACTCCTGATGGATTAATATCGACTCAAAGATGGCAACAAAAATGGTCCAAGCTGGCTCAAGATCGCATCCGTCATGCCTTCAGGAGTCCCGAAGACTACTCCAAGACTGCGCCGAGGGGACGCGGAGGCCCCACGAGCACAGTCTTGACGGCTGCCTCAGCCTTTTGTTTCACTGTATGCTCCTACACTTCCCTAATCGAGGCAACACGTCAAGCGCTCGTGTCTGGATGAGCTGGTGGGGATGCGCAACCGTCAAAAACAACTCCTCCTCGTCGCACCATCAGGCGAGGCGTTTCTCCTGAGACGTCGACCGTCTGTGATCACAAAACATGAAGCTTCGAAGCTTCCGTTGCCCTGATCGAGGGCGATGAGGTTTCGATATGTGGCTCTCAGCCTGGGTGCCGAACACTTTCATCCAAGAGGCCCCCAACAATTACACGGATTGGGGGCGGCCCGCCATCATAATGTGGCTCTCGACGAAGCGCCGCGCACATCCGTCTCACAGTTCGCACCAGGCACATGGGTGGCGCGCGAATCGTCGACGCGCGGACTCGTTTCTGCATTTAGAAGGCTGCGGAGCGATCTTTGTTTTCAAAATGGGGATATCGCTTGAGACGCCTTCAAATTGTCTGGTCAGAGGTTGCAGATCTAGCAATAGCTGCACCGATAGAAGGCAGATCCCTCTTCAAAATGCGACTATCGCTGGACGCTTCGTGTAATTGGGCCACGCGAGCTTGCGCCTGGAATGAATCGAAGTAGGTCGGACCCTGTCTAGAAGGCGGGCCCTCCGCTCTCCCCTGAATTGCAGGCCCATGGGGTGCTCGTCTCTCAGAATGGAAGGAAGCACTGATTCGCCGATGCACATGAGGAAACTCAGGGCGGCCGAATTTACGACAGGCCTCCAGCCCTCCTCCGCCCCCCAGCCTCTCCGACAAGTTCTCCGGCCCCAGTCGGCCAGAGCCCATGGCCTGGAGGCGGCCCGAGGCGGCCGCCCTGGCCCGCCACGCCCTTCCATACAGCAGCGCCCTGTTGGGACCTGCTGTTCGCCGCGGGGGGGGGTAATGGAGAGAGAAGACTGGCAAGCAGGGCACGCTCGCGCACGATCTGACATCTTACCCCTGACAAGGAAGAGTAGAGGGGGAGACTGGAGGCAGAGCGGGGGGGAGGAAATGCGAGGGGAAGAGAGGAGAGATAATGGGATAAGGGGGTGTGCCATTCATGGAAGCGAGAGGGGAGAGGTGAGAGGAGAGACAGGCAAGAAGGTGCGAACGCTACATACCTGACATCATACCCCTGCCACCCATCCGTTCCCATTGCGCTCATGTTCTCTCTAGCGGCGAACGCGCGCGCGTCATAGCGGACAACTCCCAAACAATATCCATCGTGTTATGCGAAATCGGACAAGGGGGAGCTACGTGCACAGGAGGAGAAGGGCGTGCGGATGTGCAGGAGGATGAGCAGGAGGATCAGCAGGAGGATGAAGATGGAGGATGAGGACGAAGACGAGAACGAACAGCAGCAGCGGGAACTGGAGTGGCAGGACAGGTCCAGGGGAAGACGGAAGAGGGGAAATGAGGGGGGCGACAACGATGAGAAAGGACTCGGATGCAGAAAACTGGCCCGCGCTTGGGCGAAGCGCCATAGTGAACGACGGGAGCAAAGCACCGATCCTACGATTAGGCCAACGCTGCAGCGGCAGCACACTCTTGGTAAACGGGAGACGCTCCAATGAAACAACACATAGGAACGGCTAGCTGGCGACACTCCTTGTGCGAAAACAATGCGCGGAGGGGCAGGGCGACTCTCCATACATATTCGGGGAACGGAGGAGAATCGTATACATATCAAGTTAGGTGCGCTTGCACCATATCTGACATCATACCCTACCCACCCACCCACCCCTTCCCATGGCGCTGACGTGTCTTTACCCGCGGACGCGTGTCATAGCTGACCGGGAATTCCAGGAAAAAAACCAATCTTCCAATCTTGCGATGCGCAATCGTAAATGGGAGCTGCGAGCCGTGGAGGAGGCGGTGGCAGATGAGCAGGAGAAGAATAAGCAGGACGAAAATGAGGAGGATGAGGAAGGAGGAGGCGAGGCGAGGCGAGGCCCCAGTCAGTCGTCCCGGCGGGGACGGCCCGACGAGAGCCCAGCGGTGGCGCCGGAGCGCCGAGAAAGAACCTTGGTCGAGGGGGAAGGAGGGAGGAGGAAGGACTCAGACCGTGAATTGGGAGTTCCGCACACCATCCCCACAATTGACATAAGCCAAAAATTTCGGCTCCAACGCCGTCCATGCTTTCTTGTCCGTCGCAATGTGTATCCACCTTTGGTTGTCGTCGTCTCCCTCGTGTGTAATGGCTGCGCGTACGAATTGTGCGATTTCGGCCTCCTATCTTTTCCGTTATACTCCGTGGCGTCGTAGGGTTTGGCGTGGGTCGTGGGCGTTCGGGGTCTATTGTAGTGAGAGCCGCGTCCATCTGTCGTAGTCGTGGGCTGCTACGCGCGATGCTCACCGCCACTTGCTTGTGAAGTATACCGTAGGCCAGTCCTCTACGCCTGCGCGCCGAGCATGGTCTAGGGCTGCGTGCGTCGATCTTCGTACTAATTCTTCCCATGGTTCCAACCATTCGTCGTCTTCTCTGTCGTCGGCTCTGTCGTGGTGGATGGGGGAACCTGCTGCGTCGGCGCTGGTCGCTTTGTTGGTGTCAATGTCGCGAATGTGGTTGTGTATATTGCGACGCCTTGGCATCCCGATGACAAGCCTGAGCATCCTCCGCTGTGCACGCCGTAAAGTGAGAAGCATGTCGCTGGTGAGGGTCCAAGAACAACACCCGTACATCACTGATGCTGTGATTGTTCCGATGAACAGCCTCAGTCGACTGTGGAATGGGAAACGCATGTGTGTCAGCTCGTACCTTAATTCGTTGAAGCGACCCCATCCTGCGGCAATCCTATTGCGTAGCTCTGTCTCGTGGAAGTCGTGGAAAGAAAGCTTCCTTCCTAAATACTTCGTGCTCTGGTCGGAACGCAATATTTCGATGCGTTCGCCGTTGATGTCGACATGAGAAATTGTTCTCCCCTCTCTCCGGCTGACGTTCGTCAGGATATTGGTCTTGTCCGGGTGCAGTGCCAAACCGCATGTCTTGGCTTGGGATTGTACATCTCGGAGCAAGCAGGCAAGTTGTCGTAAGTTGGGGGCGTCGAGCAAGACATCGTCGGCGAAACGTAGATCTCTGATCCGTGCTAGTGGCGCGAAGCCTAGTTGGATCCCGAATTTCTTGCGCTGCCACTCAGGTTTCATTTGTCTGAACATCTGCTCAAGGACAGCATTGGACAAGAAAGAGCTCAGTGGGTCTCCCTGTTTCACGCCACGTTCGATACTGAAAACCCTGCTGGTGATGTCTGTCCTGACGGCTGCCGTTTGGGTGCACTACAACTGTTTGAAGAAATGTATGTATGCAGGAGGACTCTGCTGTGTCCGCAAAGCTTCCCATACTTGCTCGTGGTCTACACAGTCGAACGCCTTCTTAAATTCGATTGCTGCTGCCCACAACGGTAGCTGCCACTCGTAGGAACCCTCATGCAGCATGGCAGTGGTGAACAGGTGGTCCTCCGTGCAATAATCCTTCCGGAAGCCTGCTTGGCCAGAGTTCAGCCGGTTGCAAAGGAGGCGAGACATCAATTTGTAGAGCAATAGGATAATCGCAATCGGTCTGTAATTGCCTGGGAGTTGTGGGTCTCCTGATTTGTAAAGTACGGTGATTGTGGTGGTCTTCCACTGGCCCGGTGGTGTCTGATTAGGTTTGATGGTGTCGCAGTAGAGTCGGAATAGGTGATCTTGTATGGTCGCAACCCCAGCTTTTGGCACCGCGGTGTTTTTGCACTTGTCGTTCTTGAGTTGTTTGATTGCTTGCTGGAGTTCGGTTGCGGTGAAAGGTGGGATGGTTGAGTCGCGCTGAGTTGTCGTTGGGGTGTCGCGGAAGCTGTCTGAACGGTGCGCGGATTATTGTATAGCTCCTCGTAGAAGGTTGCGAGTACGTCTGCTATGCTTTGCCTGTGTATCCTCAGTACCATCAGGCGTCTTCATTGATGCGATTAGCTCTTTGTGCTTGATGATCTTTAATCCAGCTATTCTCTTTAGGCCTTTGAATTGGCAAACGATGTGTTCGAGCTTGGCGTTCATCTCATTGCGTTTGATGGGCCTTTATTTGTTTGAGGAAGGAGGAGGACGAGGACGAACAGCAGCAGCAGCAGGAGCTGGAGTACAAGGAGCGGGAGGAGCAGGACGAGCAGGGGAAGACGAGGAAAGGGAAACGAGGGGGGCGACAACGATGAAGCAATAATCGGACAAAGAATAAAGGCCCGCACTGGGGCAAGAATACCGTTCTGGACGATGCGAACAACGCGGCGATGATCCTGATCTGAGACCGGCAAAGCAGCGGGAATACCGTTTGGAAGACCAAAAACTACGGGGCTGTCAGCACCCGTGATAAAACACTGCTTACCATCCCGTGTGCCTGTGTGAAAACAATATACGGAGAAGGCAGGAAAACGTCTGGACGGGCTGCCCATCATAACAGGTAGGTGGTAGGTGAGAGGGGAGAGCAGTCGTCATGTGGAATTGTTGGGTAAGTGTCAGGAAGGGCAGAGGGGCACAGAGGCATATGCGCAGGCCCAGGCAGGACGATAGGCAGACAGACAGAACAGAACTATAGAGACACAGACAGACAGACATGGGAAAGGAATGTAGGTAGAAGGCAGATGAAACAGAGAGACAGGCACACATCCCGAGAGACAGACAGACATGGGAGAGGAATGCAAGTCAGGAGGAATGGTACAAAGAGAGGAATTGCAATGACGCGGCATGGAGGCGCGCAGAGTTCTCGATAGCCGATTGCTCACGCAAGGGCACAAAGAGAGGAAGCGCTAGAGGAGTCGCAGCAAGAAACAAATCGGCGGGGTAGGCGAGGATGAGTCATCACGGACTGATGAGACGTCCCAGGAATGGAAGAGAGCGAGAGAGAGAGAGAGGATCAACAGAAGACACGATCCCCCTGAAGCACAAGAGAGGTGAAGAGCAAGACACATAGTCAAGTTTGGCCTGCACGCCTGCACGCTGTATCTAATGCGGAGGAAGTGGATGAGCAGCAGGCAAAACCAGGACAGGGATGAAAACAGAAAACCAAGAAGCAACCACGAAGACGAATTGAAGCATGAGGCGACGTGAAAGAAGAGGGGTATGCGGGAGGCCACGCAACGGGAAGGACAGCGGAGCACAGTTGAGGAAGACGGAGGGGCGGCATGGACAGAGGGGGGGGAAGAGATGCCTGAGTGCCTCCGCGGCATGCCCGATCTCGAAGCAATGCAACGCCTCGGGGGCCACCGTGCTCGTCGGGGGCCGCCGGATGTCCTTCGAAGCAGCCGGCAGGTGCTTCACCACCTTGCACGGGGCCCTCCGAAAGACACCGAGCAAGCGGCCTCAGCATGTGGAGGCACTCAGTGTGGCAAGCGAGCAGTCACCACCACCACCGATGCCACCTTGAACCCCCATCAGTATGGTGTGTCGCGCCATCGTGGTGGTCAAATCAGAGTGGGAGCTCACACGAATCGTTTCAAGCCAGGCGCGCCTGGTCAGGTTCGGACATTTCTGGTTGATCGACGAACCATTCGCCTGTTCTTCCGAATCCTCCTTCGGTGAAGTACTCGTCGTTGTCGTTTGGCATGGAGTGTTTCTGCTCCGTCTTCTGCCTCCTGCCTCCTCCTCTCCTCTCCTCCTCCTTTTCGCTGCCTCACTTCTCCTTCCAACTGGTTCATACCCATTCGAAACCATGTCTCATGGGCGCAGCTGAAGGCACTTTCGTGAGCTCATGGGGGCTCCAGCGGAGTGGGGTTTCATTCGGCTCGAAGTCATGGCCCCCCTCCCTGGACGCTGCGAGCTGAGCAAGTTCTTCACCAGAGAAACAACATCTGTATTGGGAATGGCGTGTGCTAAACAAAACTATTAGGCACAGCTGTTCGGCTCAAGATACCAGAGAAAAAAGGCATCCTTAAGCGAACTGCAGGAGGGAAGCGGAGCAAGGGTACCTGACAATGGCGCTGTTTGTGCATCCCCTCGTGGTCCCACCGACCATACATATAGGCAGCACTTCGCGACAAGCAACGAAGAAATTTACAACCCGACGGCGACGCGGCTGATAGAACATCGGCCAACAATTCTATCACGCGAGAGCCGCAAGCAAGGAGGGGAGGGGAGAGGAGATGGAACGGGGTGAGGTCTAAGCGGCGCTGTCCCTGCTCAAGCCAGGCAAGCGCACGGTGCACTTGTGCAACGCAGCTTTGCGGGTCCAGGTTGAGGAGGGTTTCCGCCTGACGCGGACGCTACTCAATCTTGGTCGCGCACTGCGCGCAACTGCCCGATCATGGTGTCTTCACCACTTTGCTCCTATCCGGAAGTCAGGGCCGGCGACTGTCTGGAAGATCGTGTCGCTGCGGCCGATCTCGTTCGCGACTGATATGGCCTCCGTCCAGGATGCGGCATGGATTGCCCGCGACGGACCTCTGATAGAGGCCTACTGTGGCCCATCGCAGCAAGGGGGGGTGGGCGATGCTGTGTCGTTAGTTACTGCTCTCACCATGAATGCCAAATTGTGGGCCGCGCAAGACCTGCCAACATGGCGGTCTGTCACGGACAACATGTGGGCATTTGACGTCGCCTCAGTGAATGGAATGCTCTGCGGCGTCTTTGAAGCAGGAGTGCGCGGGTCGGACTGGCTGATATTGGACGACGTGTTGGCGCAAGACCATCAGGCGATCGGCCTGCGCAACCTGTTGTCGCCCGTTTTCGCCCTCGGTTGCGGTGCCGCCCAGGGCAGGCGTTTCTCGGTTCACATTTGCAGCGCGCAGTTGAAAGCGCTGCCCGTGGAGATCGCGGCCGCAGTCCCTGGGGGGTGCGCCACCGTGGTCCCGCGCCTGGCTAGGCGGGCCCTCGCAGCGGCGGGCGTGGCTTGTCCCCCAGCCACCGAGACGGCAATGCCGGACAGGGCCCTCCCAGCGGCGGCAGTGTTGCAGGAGGTGCTTCGGGCGGCGGCTTCCGAATCCCCGCCGTGGCCGCGCGCCGAAGCCGCTCCAGCCACCTGCCTCGGTGCCCTCCCGGCCCTTGCGGACAGAGCCGCGGTGGTGGAGCTCGCGCGGGGGACTTGCACATGCCACCTGCGCAGTTTGTCGGCGACCTCACGGTAGCTTGCCCATCTGCGGGGGCGGCGCGCGCGGTCCTATCTCCTGAGGAAGACTCCGCGCGCAGTCGGTACGCGCGCAAGTTTACGTCGTTTTTCTCCCGAGAGTGGTCCAAGAAGTGCGTTCTTCCTGTCCTAGGCGCCGCCCATCCCAGTCTCGCTGGCTGCCCGGCGGTGGACCGCAAGGTCCTCCTGGGAGTGTTTGTGGATTCGGACTTGTCGTTGGAACCCCTGCTCCGTGAGATCGTCGCCGTCGGTCATAGCAGTTGCTCAAAGCTGCTCAATGCGGCGGAATCTGGGGGCTTTTCCATCCCGGTGGCCGCGGCGCAGGTCCCCGCTCGCGTCGAACCCGTCGTTGTGTGCGCCGGCCCGCTCCTGGCCGCTGTGCCCGGCGCGGAATCAGTTTTGAATAAGTTGCAGGTGGCTTTGGGCAGGCGTGTTTTAGGGTGCCAATTCGCCATGCAGTGGTCGTCGCCCAATGTGGCTGGCCCATGCGCCTGGGAACGAAATTTTTGGAAAAGGCGTTGTTGGCGCGAGCGCGGCCCACGGTCCTGCCGGGGGGCCACCCAGCCGCACTCGTGCTGAAGGATGCTCGGTCGCTGGCCACCCCCACGTGGGAATCGGCGGTGCTTGCTTTGGCCCAGCGGCTCGACCCCCCTCGCCGGACCTCGAGGGGCATCCCATGTTTCCTGCCGCCCTGCTGCAAGAGGCGCGGGTGCCTTCGGCCGCTCGGAAAGTGATTCTCCAATCGCACGGGCTCGAGGTGTTGCGTCCGGCCCTTTTGCGGCACGACCGCGCAGCATTCGCGAAGGCTGCCATGCAAACTCTGCCTCAGTTTAATCGCTCTTTTGCTTCTCTGTGCACCTTCCCGGCGCCTTTGGACCCAGACATGTTGGCTGGGGAGCCAGGGCCGTTCTTCCGGTCCCACTACCGGCTCTGGGCTGTGGCCCGAAAGATGGGCAAGTGGCCCTTGTCGGTCTTGGGGGGCGAGGAGCACCCCGTTTTTTTCGCCGTTTCAGTGCGTGCGGGCGCCGCGAGGTCTCACTGCGGCACGCGCGAAGTTCCTGCCCCGTGGTCGGCCAGGAGCGCAAGGAACTCTTTCCAGTGGATCCGTCGCTGGATTTGTTGCTCCAGCTTTTGTTCGGAGGTTCCGGGTGCCCTCGCAGACGTATCCAACACGTGGTGCCCGCTGGTAGAGCCATCCGTAGGTGTGTCCCCTCCTTCCTCTCCTCGTCGTCGTCCTCCTCCTCCTCTTCTTCCGACTCGGGGTAAGTGGCGGGGTTTCCCGCTGCCGCGCGGACGGCCCGACAGGGCCGCCAGGTCTGACGCTCCCAGTGCTTCACAGTCGTGATGCGCGCCGCTCTGGCTATTCCGTTGAGGGGGGGTCTCTCCGCTTGTTTCTTTGAGTGCGTCCTTCCCCTTCTCCTTGGCTCCCTCCCGCGCTCGCGTTCTAGTGCTTGCTGTAAGGCGCCCCTCCGCCTCGCAGACGGGATGGGCCATTCTACGTTTGTTCCCATGCCTCTTGGGCTTGGGGCTCCTCGTGGAGCCCGTGGGGCCCTCTCCCCCTCTCGCGCGCCCCCCCCCCTCTCCCCTTGTGCACGGTTTCGCCGCGGGGGTTCCCGCAGTAGGGTCGCTTGTCTCACGGTCCCCAGCCCGTCGAGGCAGTGCCTGATCCGCTAGAGTGTCCTCCCAGGTGTCTGCCGGGGCCCTCTCGTCGTCCCCAGGGTCGCCTGACAGCTTCACGTGGCCTTATGGCCAGGAGGTGCGTGGCTTTCTGGTGGGGGGGCGGGGGCGTCGGCAGACCTATGGAGATAGCGTGGCGGCCCGTAACTCCGGCGAGCGGCGCCTCCCGTCCCCGCGGGGGGAGCAGCTAGTTGCAGGCGGCCTGCCCTTGCTTGCCCTGGTACCAGCAGGGGGGGGAAGGGGTGTGTGACACCGCCGCCTGTCCCCCGTCGGCTGCGCGACTCCGACCTGCTCACGCCGGGCAGCTCTGAGCCGCAGCGTCCGCGGAACGCGCGTCAGGGGCCGCCGGCGCGCGCGCCGTGGAGGCCGTTATGATTGCGAAATGCGAAATGCGAAAAAATGTCGCAAAGGCGGTAGCACCAGCGCGCCCACTCGGCTGTAGGCCTGGGATCGGCGCGTGGGCATGGGAACCAGCCCGGCCCAGGTAAAACCCAGCCCGCTCTGTGATGATGTGCATGCAGGGTAGCAAGGTTCTCGCCGGGGGCTACTGCGCGGCTAAGGGCAAGCAACCTCCTGATTTCACCTCCCGCCCGTTCCGCATTGCGATTGGCGCGCGGAGTAGCTGAGCTGCGCGTCGCGCGGCGAGGCAGGGGATTGGGGTTACACTCAGCGCAATACTCTTCCATAGGAGCCCAGACTGCAGTCTCAGCATCCTGGCCTTCACGCGCTGGTGGGGGTATGTCTTTATAATCTTCGGCCTGTTCCATGTGACGAGGGATTCAAGGCCAAGTACGATCAACCTCGCACCTCCCTGTGGTGTTAGGGGGTGAGCGCACGATTAGTGCAATATCGAAAGGAGGTCTGATGCACCACTCTAGCTGCCATCTGCTGATGTGGCCCCGTTGTCATGACAGCCCTTGCCAGATCCAGCGGCTCCCCCTCCTGCCTGACCAGGTCCCAGGCCATTGCGACTGCTGTGCGCCATGTCGACAGGTGTTCCGTAGTTGCCTCGCCGGTGCCGCACAGCGGACAGACCTCATAGGAGCCAGAGGTGAGCGGAATCTGAAGGCAGGTGGTTCTGTCGCCCCTGATGGCACCCGCTGCCCGGGTAGAGCTCCAACGGCAGCAGTCCGCCCGGCCGCGCGGCCCAGAGGGCGATCTGGTTGGACCATTCTCCGAGGCAGGTGTGACACCAGGCGTGGCCGTGTTGTTGGGAGCTGGCGGCGTGCCAAATCCTGTGTGCTGTTTGGTGGCAGTTGCAGCAGAAGTGCGTGAGCCTGTCTGCGGCGCCCCTTCGTCTCGCTGGTCCCGGCATCCCGTTGGAGAGGAAGCGGAGCACGTGAACCGCAGCCGTGAAGGAGGGGACGTGGCGAAGTAGATTCCATTCGACACCGATGCCGGCTGCCCGCCTGCGGTCTGCGCTGGTTTGCCTGAGCCATTTCTGCATCGGGAGTCCGTGTAGCTGGTGCCCCGCAGCTGTGTAATCCGCCCGTCTCTGCGCTGGTGTAGGGCCGCAGATGTCGTT